GGAATAACCCCAAACATCTGAGGCAGGCGTTGTGAAGGTTGCCTGTGGAGGCAAGGAAGGGTAGACAGAGAGATCCTGAAAAGTTGCAGTTTATGGAGAATGATCTCAGGAAAACAGCTGTCTCTTTTCCCTTTCCCATCCTGTGATAGCAGAGATAGTTTTTAAAAACATTAAGGAGGTATCTCGTCTACCATGTCCTGTGTGACTGCCTTATTTCCATAGAGCCTGGGGTAAAATCTCCCACCTTCAATTAACACATGGTAAGCAAATTCTACTACGTTGTGGAACTGAAATGCTAGTTGGTCTTTGTTTTACAAATGTTGCTGGAGTCTCATTCTTATTTCTGATGCAGTTTGAGACATAATTTTTTTTATAAATATATATGGACTCAAACGTAAGAGAAAAGCTTGCCAGTGAAAAATCTGTTTGCAATGGTAACGTGTTTGCCTGAACATTTTGGGAAATATTTGCTTATTCTTCACAACAAATATTTGGCAAAGCAACTGAGCCTTAAATAGCAGCAAAAACTCTGAAGTGGAGGCACTGCTACTGTAGGAGCAGTAAACATTTCAGTTTGGCTCAACACAACAATGAGCTCCTCTTCTGTGCTGGGAAGTGCAGCCATGTAAGAGGCATTTCTGGAATTGTTTGAGTATTTTTAAAGAGAAGAAAGGAAAGAAAGAACTGTGTAAGATTGTAAGTCCGAACATGTGTCATGTCAAAGTCATATTATTAAATCCTAAAGGAAAAAGTTAAATTGTAGCAAACTCTGCAAAGTAAATGAACATGTCCTACCTTCTTTGGAGGCATTGTGGGGCTATAATATAACAACAAAGGGAAGATATTTTTAAAAACCAAGATTGATGGATTGATTTGAGACAGGGTCTCACTAATTATCTCAGGTTGACCTTAAACTCGTGGACATCTCCTTGCTTCGGCTTCCTGAGTACTGGGATTACAGGTATGTGCCACCATGTCTGGCAAAAATGAAGATTTTCAAATCAAACAGTATCTAGTAATCAGAGGGGCAACAAATATCTCAGGTCATCATCTATGGAGACCTAGGCTTGAATTGCAACTCTCCCAATTAGTTTTGTCACTTTAGACAAGTTTTAAATTCCTTTGAGGTTCCAGTTCCAGAGGAAGATGGTAGCATATTACAACTTATTTCAAACTCTCAGTGAAGTGAGAATTTATACAAAAAATGGTTTTATTTTTTCCAATCACTACTTCTTGTACCGTGTGCCTGAGGAGCAAAAGGGATCTACCTTTCTTGGCTCAAGAATGAGAAATTTTATAATTTTTTATCCCTATACTATGAAGCTCTGAGATACGGATACTTTTATGTTCAACAGTACTGAGACTACGCAAAATAATCTGGCTGCTTGGTCTAGAAAGCACTTGCTTCTAGAAATAATGCAGTGTACTCTAAGCCAAAAAAGAGTTATTCTGGAAGAGAAGCTCTTCAACTAGTTCACTGATTAAAACTGTCAATTTGCTCAAAAGATTCCGTTCTGGATCCCAGGCTTAGTTTGTATGTGTGCAGAGCTATTACACGACTGAGAGCCATGTCCGACCCAGTGACTCCACCCTTTAAGATCACCATCAGGCCCTAATTTCCCTACTTTGACAAACAGCTAAGACTCAGTCCAAATGGCATTCTCAAGCTGGCATGGTCGCATATGCCTGTAATCCCAGAACTCAGGAGACAGAGGCAGGAGGATCATTGTGAGATCAAGGCCAGCCTGGATTACAGAGTACTTTAAGGCCAGCCTGAACTATACATTTGAAAGAGAAAGAAAGAAGAAATAAAGAAAGAGGAATTTTCTTCTGTAGTTGGCTTGATCAGTAGATCTTGCTGAAGATTTAAAGAGAACTAGTGGTCAATGTACTCCTGAAGTATCTGTAGCCCATAGCACTATTGTTTGTGCACACAAATCAAAATACACAAATCTGGCCAGATGTACAGAGCTTAATTTATATCCTTTTTTAAAGCATTCACCCAAACTTTTGTGCCTGGATGCATGGCTCAAGGGGTTTGGATCACCATGGAGACAGGAAGGGGTGGGCCTGTGCCTTGAGATTCTGCTGCACCACCTAAAGTCCTAACAGCCCCTGGAGGATGAGTGGTCTTGGGTCACCAGCCAGTAGGGGGCGGGATTCTTTGTTATTCTGCTCGGTTCAGTTGCTTCAGTGCATCCTTGTTTCTACTTATATGGTGGCCCAGTGTAGATTATGGCTATGGCTTTCTCTGGACATAGAATAACTGATGTTCCACTCGGAGCTCGCCCTCCCTGTCAGTTCCTGCCTCCCAAATCTTTCCTTGGTGCAGTGTTGTCCTGTTCTGCCATCTCACCTAAGTTCTGTGCCTTAATGGAAGGCCACAGGAACCACTAACATGAGAAAAATAATAAAACACTGCAGTGGGAATTAAACACACTGCCAGAATGTGACACAATGACAAGAACTGATCGTTTTCATTAGTCCATATTCTAAGTAATGCACTGTGGTGGTGACTGCCTTTATAATTAAGAATAGAAAAAAGAATGTTGTGTAAAAACGCTATTTTTAAGCACATAAGAAAAAGTCCTGACAAGGTCTATTTATACTCCGAAACTGAAAACTAACCTACTGTGATTCCATTAAACTACAAACTAATGTAAATTTATCAAGTTCTTTAAAATTCAAGTCAAGACCAATAAAGGAATAAAATATTGAAACCAGAGTGATAGTCCACTTCAGGTTGTTTTGGTTGTTGCCTCTTAATAATTTTTAATTTCGTGGCTTAAAAGTAAATGCACCACTGTTGACGGTTAGACTTCACTGAAGGTGTGAAATTAATACCTGCTAGAACAAAACGGGAATATTTCTCTTAAGATTTTCCCTGACATATCTTAAAGATTACAGCTATTTAGGGGAGATCCAGAGCAGAGTGAGAAATATTTATAGCATATGAGTATAATAAAAAAATGTAATCATGAACTAACAGTACATTAAACTGGTAGGACATAGTTTACATTAGATCATAGGAATGAATATCAAAAATACAGGCAATATTTTTGAAAAAACAACCAGCAGTGAAAAATTTACTTATAATAGAAACCAGACACTCCAAAATAATTTGTGGTTTACTTAATTCTTACCGTTCATCCTATATTCTTTTGTATAAGCTGAAGGAAGGCACCCGAGTAACTACCTCAGATGTTTTTGATTTTGATTCTGAATTTTTAGTGAGATGAAAACTCTAGTCTATATAACAAAAAGAGATGGCATGTCATTTTTAGAAGTTTTAGATTTTTCCCCTCATTGTAGATACATATTAAAAGAAATGCATTACAATAAATTACTATATTTTCAAATTGTCTTATTATTTCTGGGCAAATAATAATTGCATATAAATTTTGAATAAAGGAATATCATATTGCATCTTATGTGTTCTGGACTATGCACTCCTAGAAAATCATTATAGTAACAAAACCAGCTGCATGTAATAGAAAGCAAATGATTTACAATGTCACTATGAGAAACTACTTTATTTCACATTATCATAAAAAGAACAGAACTGAATATTTGCATGTCAAACAGAAGAATCCAGAAATTCCAAATTCAACTCAGTGTTTTTCTTTTTAACTTAAATAGGTATTAATGCTGGAAGGTGATCCAAAAAGTCTTTTCTCTAGAGAATATTAACAATTATAGTTTGCAAAATTATTATTTGGTCAACAATTGAAAGGAAAAAAACTACAAACATTAATAGGCTATGGAGAGAATAATATATGTCTCTATCATAGATATCTAGAAATGCTTACATTTAGTGATTATGAACACTTTATTTCAAGAAATATGTGTTTTTGTTCCTAAATGAAAATTGACCCTGAAATTTGAACCACACCAAAAGCCTTTAATGTCTGTGTTCTATATGTTTTATATTTTTCTTAATAATCACATCTGTCCACCAACCGGCCAACCCAAGAGAGCTGGTCCCTTTCACATCACTAACTACAGGGAGTTCCTCTGTTAATCCAGAGCTTTAGCTCTATCTCTCTACCTAGCCACAACGCTGTGAGCCTGAGCTACTGAGAAACAGCATGCCCAGAGAAGAGAAAAACTGAATTTGGCCTGGAGACTGTGAGCCATGGAAGTGAAAACAGAAAAGTCAGTACCACAAGGAGTCCCAGCAAAAAGAAAATTAGGATGGGGAATGGACTGGGATGGGCAAGAGTTGCAGGGAGCGATGCGAGGGTACAAGCTGACAGCCAGCAGACAGTGACACAGAGAAGCACAAAGCACCCCGGGTGCATCAGTGGCGCATCGCCCGCACCATGAGCTCCGGCTATGGCCTCCCAGATGGGTAGCTCAGCACTGGCTGGTAGGCTTCCACAGCCATGAAGCGTCATGTCTCTAATTTTGCTCCTCATGTATCAATTATGTCATACCTTAGTATCTGACTGCTTTGAAAATTACTGAATTTGGTTCCCAGTGAGTTTGACATCAAAGTTCAGCTTTGTGTGCATTGTTTGGTACTCTATGCACAAGCTGGAAGTTGTTGGTGTCCATTGTTCTGTGACTCATGATTCTTTCCAGCCCAAATGGTTCGCTTAGTACCCATCAGTCCAGTATCTGTTGTGCCACCCAAAAGCACTTAGTGTGTCAAGTGAGGTACTATTGTACAAAGAAGCCATTCTAAATAAATTAAGTGCTAAGAGTCTCAAGTTCCTGCCACCCAAGAACCTATAATTATATACATATGTATAAAGTAAAACCTATTAATTATATATTGCCCATATGTAACATATAATAATGTGTTGTAATGTGTAATTATATGTTTATATATTTACAATGTAATGCCATACAAAAATGGAATGCTTATATATTTGTAATAATATATAGTATTAAGCAGAAAAAATATAGCAAATATGTTATATTCTACACACTATATCTTTTTATTTTTATTTTATTTTCTTGATACTGGGAATCAAACTCAGGACCTTGTGCTTGCTAAGCAGAACCAGAACTACACCATGTTTTAAAAATTATAGGTTCTTCTATGTTTCACTACATTAGGAAAGGATCCCAGGACACAAATAATGCCTGATGTCCAAGGTCCAAGAGTCTTACAAGAGCTATCAGAGTTCACTTTAGTGGTCATACTTTTTAGAGAAGCAATTAATTCAAATTACTTAATTTTATGGTGAGTACACTGGGTGAATATAAAACATACTTCATACATAATTGGAAAAGTACCCTAAATAAGCACAGTACTCACTGAAATATAGTTTCAGGTAAGAACTTCCTCCTTCCTCCCTCTACTCTTCCCTGGAACAAAAACTAAGGTTTCAGGACAAGACTGAAGTCAAGAGCCCCAAGGCCAAGCCCAGTAGGTCAATGGCTGTCAGCATCTGCTCCCACCAGCACCTGAGTGCATTAAGTAATAAGAAGTTTCATGGGTTGTCCTTGTTCCTTGGTCCATGTCCTTTGAACTTACCAGTCCTGATCTGGAGGGTCTTTTGGTCTATTGGTCCCTCTCAATCATTTTTCAAACATTTTGGGAGTGTGTGTATAATTTTTGGATGTTCTCTGGTGTTTCTTTAATGGCAGGAAGCTTAGTTTCCTCAGACCTCTCTTTAGAGCCATCTGTCCTCTTGCCCTGCTGTTACTGCCCCAAGACAGCAGAGTACACGGGACTGAGGAACTCTTGGACACAAGTGACATCTGGTTTTGGATGCCCACACTGACCTGAAGTATCCATAATCTGTTTTCCTAGATCTTATGCTGGAGAAAGCTGGAGGAAAAAGGAAAAGTCTTGGAGCCATTGCACCTGGGCAAGCATCCTAATCTTCCACACAAGTGTCCCTATTCTCCTCTGTGCAAGTGAAATCTGTCCATTCCCAGCTCTTTAATCAGCTGCATTCTTCCCCACTTCTTTATGTACTGCATAAACTTTGGCTTCTGTTACCTCTTCCAATATTGCCTGCTTCAAAATGGGAAAGCTGAGAACCAATTCTTTTGTACACCCTTCCCTTCCTTGGAGTAGCAAGTGGGGCTTTCCCAGCTGCTGCCTGGAATGAGGAAGAAGGTCACAAGGGGAATGGCAATTACTGCAAATGGAAACACATAAATTATTATCAAGATAGTATCAGCCCTACAACATCTGAGTTGTTAACGAATGCTTTTCTAAGAAGGCATCAGGTTTGCCCTTCCTCAGTAAATTTAAGTTTAGCCTGCTGTTATATATTCTTTTTGTTTTGTGCTACTCAATCAGTTCAGGCCCATCCCTTGCACTTGTCTATGGAGCCACCACATTCTTATTTTTTTAACCAGTGCCTTACCTTATGAAGTTGAGTTGCACTTAATATAGTTTAAATGATGCTAAACTGGAATTGCCTTGCTTTCAAAGCAATTCAATTTGTATCCTTCTAAGTTGTCACTGTTACAATACAGGAAAACCTGTGAATACTAAAATGTCCTCGCTTAACAGATACAAACCTAAAACCATGACAAAATTTCATGTTTGTAAAATTCTTTGCTGTTTACAAAAGGGTTTTGCATGCATTATTGTTCTTTGTTCTCCCACAGAATGTAGATTGCAGTGGTGGTGCGTGAGCTTTGGCCTCCTGCATGAAAAACACGTATTTCCAGAAGCGACAGTGTATTAGCTTTTTGTCCTGTGATGATGGAAACAGAAGCATTAGGCAATGTCCAAGCTTACTCACCTCCCGCGGATTACGTTCCTTAACAAACTTCCAACCCTTAGCTGCTTATGGATGCCAAAGCCACAGTAGGGCTGCTGCTTACCCCAGTATGCCAGGAGTTGCAGAAGAGATCAGTTATCTTCTGCTTGTCTCTGTACTTTCACTAAAGCAGCATTAGGCCCTGGCATCATGTCAAGGATGCTCTGATAATGCTTAAAGCCAATTGAACTACAAGAGTCGTTCAAAGGATATAAAGGATCTACTTTCCAATTGTCTTGCCACATCCTGATGTGAAGGATGCCTAGAGAGAGTCCTGTGTTTAGCTTGGCTGTGCAAGATCATCCGTGATTATTCCAAATGCTAGACAGTGGCGACAGTACACCTTCACAGTCATCCTTCTCTCTAACCTATCTGAAGGTGACCTAGCCTAGAGCATGTAAAAGATAAGCACATACTTCTAAGTCACAAATGTTTTTATTATCAGATGTTCAGATTGACCGTGACATTGTTCAGGCCAGCTGAAAACTGCTTTAGGAGAAATGGTTTAAAAATCTATCCTTGGAAAAGAAGAGCTTGAACTACATCTCAAAATGCCATGCTGCCACTTGGCTTTATGTCACACACATAAAATATGACAAATAAGCAAATATATAACAAAGAATTTGACAGTCCTGTACTTTGCTTATTAACACTGATCAAGCAGGAATAAAGGTAGCAAGTACTAGATATCACGTGACAGGAAAAACACTACCCCAAATATTTTAGCCAGCAGCAATTTAGTTTAACACTCGTTTAATACTATTCATATGAATATGTATACTGGAGACACAATATAGTTCAGAACATTCCAGAAATATAACTAAAATCTTTTATTTTCCTAAAAATACTTGTTTTGGATTTTATCAATACACAATTAACAGATTCTTTTTTTCAAAGTTTTATTGATAAACAGATAGCAATAATTAACAGATTCTTATAACACATAAAATGATAAACATATGCAACCTTAATCTTTTCTTTCAGTAACAAACAAGATTCTCTAGACTGTAAGTTAACTAAAGCAGTGCTCTGAAAGATTTCAGAAAACCTCCACAATGAGACAATTGCAATTGGGAGACAAATACCTAAGTGCTTACAAAAACCTTCTCACCAGATCGATAATCTGTTTTGTTGTTGCTCTCAGAGAGGGTTTCACTATGTAGCCCAGACAGGCCCCAAATTTGTGGCAATCCCCCTGCTTCAGCCTCCCATGTGCCGGCATAACAGGTGTATGTCACCACGCCTTTCTTAATCTCTTGCTTTTCAGGAAATACAAAAAAAGGACTTTGAGAATTCTAGAATTGAAATCACTCAAACATAGGCAGATTATGACTTGCCAGGTCTGAAGCTCTTCAGTTTGTAGTACCAGTATTAGAACTAAAGTATGTCAGTATTGGCCATAAACTTTAACACTTTATCAACTGTCAAAAATAGGTACAATTAGAAAAAAATCCTGCGCATGGGTACAGAAGACATAGTTTATGTGTTTAATCAATTGTGTTTGTGATAGCTGAGAAACTGGAAACACCTGAACATCCTTTGGAAGGACAGAAGATCAGGTGCGGCTTGCTCATTGCAGCCGTACCTTATAGCAGTTAATCAATTTCTCTTTGATCCACTGCTTTTATTGAGCATGCAGAAGTGTACTATAGGATAGCGTGATAACATGAATAAGAAATTGAAAGACACATATCCCAAACATGATTATGTACAAATATGAATTTAGTCACATAAATTATCTTCCTCAGCATGATCCAAAAAGGTTTAAAAATCAGGGCTGGCCCAATAGCTCAGCAGATTAAGGCGCCTCCAAGCAGACGCAGGTGCCGGGGATTCAATCCCTGAGCCTGCTGTGCGGCCATGCCCCCAGGGTACACTGAGAGGGTGATTGAGACTGGGCGTGGTGGAGTGCACCTGTAATCCCAGCTCTTGGGAGGCTGTAAACAGGTGTGTTACTATAAATCTGATCTAGTAGTGAGACCCTGAACACCCTGTAGACCCTTCCCTAAAAAAAAAAAAAAAAGTTTTAAAAAAATTTATGGAACAGAGGTTGCATTTATTACCACAAGTGAAATATTTAAGGATTTTCAAAACCACATGCACTTCCGTATAATTTCTTAGAAATCTTGAACTGTTGGTGTCAGTTTCCTCTTACAGGCCTATTAATCAAAGTTATATTTATTTCCTCTCTGTGATCATTAATTACTTTGAGAGAGATCTTAAGACCTCTCAACGAATATAGTTAGTCACCTGACTTAGAGAACCCCTCGTTAATAAGTTACATAAAAAGGAAATCTTTAGTGTATTTTCCAAATTCAGTTAGGTAATTATAATGCAGCTTGTATCTCTGTGCTGTGGACACACTGCTTGGAATTACTGAAAGGGACAGGGGTATGTCAGCGGCTAGTCTTACACTCTTATTTTACAGGTGGCCCAAAGGAGAGAAATGATTTCCCTAAAGACACGCGGCCAGCGATAGGTGGACAGGGATTGAAACCCAGGCTGCTGCCTGAAGCTCTCTCAACAAATGCCACGTTGCTTCTCACACAGCACAGACTGCTGCATACACTGTCCAGTCCCAGAAGACAAATTAATCAACCCACTGATGAAAACAAAACAATTCCCCAAATCCCCCAATAAGAGCTCAGTGCCATTATAACTTCAAATCAATTTCCCAGATGCTTCTTTAGTTTTTTTCTGGTTCTGTGAAGGTTGATCTATGTATCTTCAACACCCCTGTGTCATATGGATACATGTATAAACTTTATATATGTTTCAGTGATATGTATATATCTGAAATCAGAAGATTATAATGATACGTTGGGAAAACTTGCTGACCTAATGCATCTCCGTCTGGAAAGTAATTAACTCCCATTACATAATGTATATGGGAGCACTAACACTCTCGACCCAGTCGGCTATTCAAACACTAAGAGTATTGTAATTGTCCTGTAATAGATTCGCAAGACATCATTTTAGAGATGCTGACACCCAGAGGGAACATCTTCCATGACGCTTGGACTTTATCGAAGGGTGCAGCACTTAGGAAACATTTTCATCTGTGAAATCCTCTATGCCTGGGGAATAATGTTGATCATTTCAACTTTCTGGTCAAACCGTTCTTACTCACTGCAGCAAAGATTAGAATAGTTTAAAATTAGAATTTTCAGCACTTCCTTGTATAAAATTTTCTCAAGTCCTGGATTTTGGAATTGTACCAAACATTTCTGGACACATCATCAGTAATAGGATAATAATAAAAAAGTGACTCTTGGATTCTGGTATGTCGCTCTTATGCATGCAATCCTTCTTCCCTTATAAAAAGAAGCATTAAAACTAAGACAGTAAACATTTTGGCAGAAGCACTTTGATCCAAGATTTTATGTAACTGCCATTATTTTTCATACGAGCCAACTATTTACTTGATTCAACCTGCATGTTTTATTTTCTTCATATAATCAAAACAGAGAATGAATTTTCTTTTATAACATAATTCCAGATTCTATTTAGTGCATCTGACTGATTTGTTGCCCCCATGAGCAAAAATATGCTATTTTCTTATCCTTCCTTTAAAATACTAAAATTGTAAGTTCTAATGTTGCCAGTTAGTAAGACTATAAACTTTTGCTCTAGCCAGGTTTTATGACAACTCAAAAGAAATTTAGATACAACAGGAAGAGAGGTTAGCAAGTCCAGTTGTTCAGCTCTTGTCTTTCTTCTTTGAATTGTGTTGGAGTCTGTTATTGCGTTGCCCTGAGCTACTGCTGCCAAATTCCACCCTAGAGATGGCTATATTTCAGAGATGAGTGAAATGATACTTGTAAACAAGTTTATAATCATTAATAAAGCTTACCAAACAATTTAAGCTCTTTAGAAACACACATTCACTATTCTAATTAATCATTTGTTGTTTATTTAATTACAACTTTTAAAAGAGACAGGAAGCCTTTAAAAATGCAATGTATAAAACTCCTGAACAATTAAATTGGATTTCATGATGCTTATTTTGTTTTCGTAAGCTTCAGGTGTCAAATGATTTCTCCCTAGAGATCCTGGCCAAATTCCACCACTGATTGTTCCAATGTACTTTTTAAAAATCTTTAAGAATATTTTTCTTTAAAGTTGACAACTGCCCACTCTGGGATCCAGATGCTACATACACAGTGAGATAATTCTGTTCTGGTTTCCATACGTGGCCCCACATAAGCCGTCTCCCAGGGCTGGAAAGTTCTGCCTCAATTGCAGAAGTTTTAAACTTGGCTTGAAAATAATAAACACCGTATCTTACATGTTTGTGGCCATTGTAAGTCGAAAAAAGTGTATTCATATCCATTGCACTGTTTTACTCTTAAAATCAGTGCTCTAAAAGAAGAAAAGGCATTGAGTTACACAATAAATTGGCTTTGCATGACACACAAAGTAATCCCTAGGACTTTGAATTTCCTTAAGACCTGAAGGGAAGTAAAAGGCAAACAGAGGTATGTCTCTTGTAACCGAGAAATACAAAGACAAAAGGAGATTTAGAATTTATATGTCACACAGAGCTAGGAAAGTTCCACTCATGATTTCCTAATAGTCCTTCCAATCTGTCCTCCCCAAATTAGGACACTGTTTCCATGTGATCCCGAACAGTGCACCAGCTTGTGAGTGCCTAAGAAATGATTTTGGACCCCACAGTCATGATGGGATCTAAGACTAATCAAAGCTGTTTTCCACGTGTAAAAATTGAGGTCCAGAGAGGGGAAATAACTTAGCCAAGGTCACACAGACGGATGGCGGCAGACGCCAACCCTACTACTTCTTCGCTTCACCTCTAGTAATCCCTGCGTTAGTTCTGCTATCAAATGTCTCCCTCTCTCTTTCTTAGTCTGCGTAAGCGACGTCACTTTTAGTCAACTGATGGGGTCCTCTCTTTTCGAAAAGGATAAAGGCTTGGAGCAAAACACGTTTCATCCAGAGGGCCAACCTGGTCCACGACCACCGATGAAACACGAGCTCTGCCACGCACTGGGCGTCCAGGGGAGACAAGGGCAGAGTCCATGCCCAGAGACTCAAGTTGGGCGTCTGCCTAGTTTGGACACTTTCCAGGGCTTCGACATCTACTCTTGGGGTCCCCCGCCCACCTCTCCCCCGAACCCTACGGTCTGCCTTTGCAGGGTACGCTGTTCCCAGAGCCCAACCCGCCAGGATTCGGCAACACAGAGAACCCAGCCGGCTGGCGCCCGCGACGCGCGCTCCTGGTCGCCACGGCAACGAGGGAGGCGCTGACCCTTGACCCCGCCCGGCCCCGCCCCTCGCGTAGCCAAGCCCAACATGGAGCCGCCTAACCCGGAAGTGCCGCGGCCGCCGCCCGCCCGGTGCTAGGAGCCGCCGGCCCGGCCTGGCCGAGCCCCGCGCCCGCCGCCTGTCAGTTCGC